TGGCCAGGCAGGCCCAGGGGGACGTGGAGCGGGAGAAGAAGGAGCTGGAGGACTCCTTCCAGCGGGTGAGCGAGCAGGCTCAGAGGAAGGTGAGTGGGGACGAGGGGGACATGCTGGGGTGTGCAGGGCCTCCCCCGTGGGCCACTGGCAATCTGTCTTCTTGCCCACAGTCTCAGGAGCAGGCAGAGGTGCTCACACTGAAGCGGGAGCTGGCAGCCAGCAGGCAGGAGCTGCAGGTCCTCCAGGGCACCCTGGAGTCCAGCACCCAGGTGAGACCCCATGGGTGGCCTCTGCCACCCCAGAACAGGCAGCCCGGGAGGAGGGGGGGGTCTGCCTGCTGTTGCCATGCTTGGGCAAGGTGTTACCCATCCCGGCATCACCCGCTGTTGGCCTGATAACCAGCTCCCTCTCTTCTTCCTCCTCGCATCTAGATGAGTTTAGCAATAGTTCCAGGGGATTTAACGCTTCTGGGTGCCAGCAGCAGTGGCCTCTGGCAGCAGGGGTCGTTCAACAAAATCCCTGCTCTTGCAGGGTGGCTCTGCCCGCTCTAAAACCCGGGCAGGGAGTGTGTGATCGCAGCACAAGCCTTTCCCCGGGCTCGCTGCCGTGCCAGAGGGCATTTCGTGCCTGTGAAGCCGCAGAGGACAGCAGGGGTTTCCAGGCTCATTGTGGAAGGCAAAAGTTGGCAGGAAAACGGAGCTGCCCATCCCCGGGATGGGCAGACATGCTGTGGCAGGACAGGGATGGGGCAGAGCCAGCTCTGGGGCCAGCAGGCAGCGCCTTCATCTGCTCCTCTGTCAGGGTGCTGACAGTTGTAATAAAAGTGAATTTTCACTGATAAAAGTGAAAGGACTCCCTGGGGAGCCTCGGCTGGGCCGTGCTGCAGGGGTGCTGCCGGGCAGCGGGCGCCGCAGGGCTGCGACCTGCTGCGGCCACGATGCACTGAGCAGGGACGGTCAGGGGGGCCCGAGCCTGGACCATGAGTGATTCCCCCAAGAGCAAGTCCCCCACGCGAAGTGTTTGCCCTCGGCACAGCCCCGACTGCTGCTTTGTGCCCACCCAGGCGGGAGCAGAGCAGAGCACCCG